GCCTATGTTAGTTATAGCGGCTCCCGTGTTAGTTCTATATGTTCTCTTGTTAGTTCTACCTCCAGCTAATGCAAACGCAAGTTCTACTGCAAATGTGGGTTCTTTTGCCTATGTTACTTATAGCTGAGATATTGTTTGTTCTACCTGGTAGATGGGGTCAACCATCAAAACATTATCTCCGGAAGAATTGTCAATTGGGATCCTATCTGAAACACATGTGGCCGTCGATAACGGCGGCCGTTGATAACGGTGGGCCACAATCTATATTGTCATTGGGAAGCGCTGTAAATAAATAACATAAACAAAACAAATAATCATGAACTAAATCAATAGAAACATCAACAAATAACATAACACAAATAAGAAAAAATCACTAACGACTGTTTGTGTTAGAACTAGCATGAAATTCATCTGAACTAACAAGAAATCAATTAGAACTAACATGAAATCGATTAGAAATAACAGATTTGACCTAAAATGGAATTTGTCCTAGAACTAGCAGTAAATCGATTTCATGTTAGGGCATGTTCGGTTGTTTTCCGCAAAAAAAAGAAACCAGCAATGCACCATGAAAACAAATTCCCATCATTTCAACGTGTTTTCTCAGATTTGAAGTATTATGTTCGTTTCAACATGGAAATCAAGGGATTGAAATCAAATTTCACATTTATTGTGTTCGTTTCAACTCTTTGCAATAAAGAAATGTATTGTCCTTTGTCACATTTCTTGCATTTCACCTGTTCGTATTGCACAGCCTCAAATATAGGAAACCAGCTCAGCAAGTTCAAGCGGTGAGCTTGCCTCCCCAAAAAACCAACTGAAACCAGCAACGGTAAAAATTGTGCAACGGTCAAAAAACCATAACTCAAAACAGCAAGATTTTGCCAACGGAAACAATTTACCCCACCCCTGCACTTATATAGTTGGGATCAACTCCATCCTCCTCAACATATTCTCTCATAAAATTGCAAGAAAGCTGGGCAAAAATACTTGAGCATAGAGGCAATTAAAGCTGCGACATGGAAACAAGCCAAGACTCTCATGAATTAGCTGCAGAGGTAACGTGCTACTGTAACATACCGACACCACTAAAGCTTTGCAGATCAGGAGTAAACAAGGGCAAATACTTTTGGGGCTGCGCCAACTATCCAAATAGGCAATGCCAGTATTTCAGGTGGGCAGAAGAGCATCATGATAACAACCAGCGTAAGGTAAATTTTGAATGTCCCTCTCCTCAATCAGTTTCCCAAGTTAAAGATGTGGAAACCAAGCACTTGCGAAGAGAATTAAAGCTTGCAAACCAACAAGTTGTTTACTTGAAGAAATGTATTGTTGTTTTAGGAATATTTAGTATTTCCCTTGTTGTCATAAACATTGTAATCTGCTGTTTGAAAATGTAATGCAAAAGTTTGAGAAGAATGCAGGGACTCTTGTGTAAAGTCTGAGTTCAAATACAAATCTGAACAGATTGAGATGAAAATGATGCAGCAAATCCCCCATGCATATATGTAACAAAAACTTCTGTGATTAAACCAGCAACACAAACTGCACTTTGCATATGCCAGAAACTCCCAAAGTGAGAACAAGAGGAATCACAAGCAATAGGTATCTGAAATCAAACATGATAGCAATGAAAGCATGACAAGCAAAGATATATATTTAAAAGTGTTAATAATCCAATTCAACAGCTTTATATTAAAAGCTTAAGAGTATTATATTCCAATGGTGAGAATGATAAATAAAGTTTGACAAATCGAGTTAGTTCTAGTTGTCCTACTGTTAGTTCTAGAACATATCGAGTTAGTTCTACTTCAAGTTGGCGTTATTTCTCTCGAGTTAGTTCTACTTCAAGCTGGCGTTATTTCTAGCACAAGTGTTTGTTTTGTGGCCCATGTTAAATAGTATTGACTACAAATAGGTTAGAACTAACAAGATATCGTTTGGACCTAACAAATTTGACCTCGCATAGAGCTGTAATAGAATTCACAGCGGTTAGAACTGACATCTCCCCTATCGAGTTAGTTCTAGTTGTCCTACTGTTAGTTCTATCCCCTATCGAGTTAGTTCTAGTTGTCCTGCTGTTAGTTCTGGAACATCTCGAGTTAGTTCTACTTCAAGTTGGCGTTATTTCTAGCACAAGTGTTTGTTCTGTGGCCCATGTTAGGCCTATCTCAGTCATTGTTAGTTCTATATGTCTTCCTGTTAGTTCAAGCCCATCTTGAGTTAGTTCTACTTCGTGCCCACGATATTTTTAGCACAAGTGTTTGTACTCGAGATGGCCATGTTATCCCTAGCTCACTCCTAGTTAGTTCTAGATGGCCTCCTGTTAGTTCAAGCCCATCTCCTATTAGTTCTACTTCGTGCTGGCGTTATTTCTAGCCCAAGTGTTTGTTTTGTTATGTCATGATATCCCTAGCTCACTCCTTATTAGTTCTAGCTGTTCTCTTGTAAGTTCTATCACATACAGAGTTAGTTCTATTACGTTGCTTAAATATTGTACCCACTTAATCAAGCCTTGTACCTACTTGTAAAAACTTTTATACCCACTTAATCAAGTTTGGTACCCACTTAATCAAGTTTGGTACCTATTTATTCAAGTTTTGTACCCACTTAACCATGTTTTGTACCTCATTATACTGGAATCAAAATTTTGTACACACTTATCCAAGTTTTGTACCCATTAATAGACGTTTTATACCTACTTAGGCACCGATTTTGTACCCATTTATACACGTTTTGTACCCAATTAATCAATCCTTGTACCTACTTGTAAAAACTTTTGTACACACTTAATCAAGTTTTGTACCCACTTAATCAAGTTTGGTACCCATTTATTCAAGTTTTGTACCCACTTAACCATGTTTTGTACCTCATTATTCTGGAATCAAAATTTTGTACACACTTATTCAAGTTTTGTACCCATTTATACACGTTTTGTACCTACTTAGGCACCCTTTTGTACCTCTTTGCTCTGGATTCAAATATTTTACCCACTTAATCAAGCTTTGTACCCACTTAAGAAAGTTTTGTACTCACTTAATCAAGCTTTGTACCTAATAATGCCATGATTTTATTTTTGTACCCACTTATTCAAGTTTAGTACCCACTAATTGCTCGTTTTGTACCCACTTAATACTGTTTTGTTCCTCATTGTTCTGGGGGAAAAATTAATTCAAATTATCATCCATACATGATTAATCCATACAACCACATTATCATCCATACATACATAAATCTTAAGGGAAAAGTGAATAAATCAAATTGTGAACATTCAACCGAAACACATGCTTTGTTTTGGCCCTCCGCAAACTTTGTTTTGGCGATGCCGTTAACTTTCTCGACCTCCACCAGCAATATTTTTGTTCTACAAAAAAAAATTGCAACTTTATCATGACAAATGCAAAGACATTGAAAAAATATTAAATCAAGATTAAGTATAATACCTTAGCTAAAGGACAACTCGTTATATAATGTCCTTTTCCCTTACAAAACCCACAAAATCTTTGTTTTTTATACTCTTTTCTTGTGCTATCTCCACTCCCGACTTAATTCTAGTAGCATGTGCTGGTCGTCCCTTCGTGGCAACAGGCTTATCTGGATCACGAATAGTGGTTTGAGTTGCTTCCTCTATAGAGATGAGTATGGATGAAGTAGGCATCTTATTGCTGGCATTGCTCTCATTTCCATTGTTGTTATGTTCCTTCTCAATCTTGGAATTCTCAACTTCTTCAAAAAATGAGTCTAAAAAAGCACTAAACTTATCATGAAGTGTACTTGAAGTCAATGTATCTTCTAGTGCCTTGTTACATCTACTCCTAAGGGCCCAATGTTTAATGATAGATAGTTGGTCTTCACTATTTGTAATGCAATTTCTAACAACTCCGCAACCAACATGTCTTGCTTTAATTGTCCATCGTTGCATGATATATCTTGATGGAATTTCTAATACTTGCTTCTTTACTAAAATGTGCAAGCTATGTTTGCATAATATACCTTCCATCTCAAATCTCGCACAAGAGCACTTAATTCTTTTTTCTTTGGATGTATCGAAAACAACATGATGCTTTACTATCTTCTTGCTTTCAGCCTCGCTATCTATATTCCAAACGGCATAAGTAGCACTTGCGCCGTCCTTCGACAACTTTTCATGAAGCATGGAGTAACTATCCTTGAGTTCTTTCTGAAAGATAGTAAACAGATTCTTCGTATAATTCTCCCGAGCTTGTTTTTCAATGGGATGTTCAATTATCAATGTAGGAACTGAGTTTGTGGACTTAAAATCTTGCTCAAGTTCAGCGGCTCGGCGAGCTCTGACAGCATTATCATACTGCTTAACAAAATCATGTAACTCGGTATTTACATTCACAAAATGATCAAAAAAAACATTAATTCCCTCACTCCGCTGAGTAGATGTCATTCCTGCAGTAAACGTATCTTTAAGATACACTGGAGCCCAATGATCTCGATGATTGTATAAATTTACTAACCAACTCCTTTTA